TGAGCATAATGGTCTCTATTGGGACCATCTAGTTACAAATGGTATAATTTCGTTCTTTTAAATGGCTGAGTAACACTCCATGGAGTAGATGTACCACAGTTTCTTTTAACCATTTCTCTTTGGATGGGCATCTGGGTTGTGTCCATGTCTTTGCTATTGTAGATTGTGCTGCTGTAAATGTAGGCTCACAGGTGCCTTTTTCATATGCAGTTTCATTTCCTTTGAATATATTCCTAGGAGTGTAATAGCTGGGTCAGTTGGCAGGTTTATTTACAATTTTCTAAGCACTCTCCATGCTGATTTCTAAGTGATTGTACTAGCCTCTAGTCCCTCCAGCAGTGAAGGAGGAGGGTACCTTTCTCCCCACATCCACGCCAGCAGGTGTTGTTAGTCAATACAACTCTTTTAAGTATCACTTTATTTTCCATTGTAGCTCCAGAGCTTAACAGAAATTTACTCTGTAGCAAGGTACCCTGATAATGCTGCTATTTTCAGGTGTGTGATTGCTTTGGTTTGTTGTCGTTTTTTCATACACTCCTCCCTCTTTTCCCACGCACAAATTAGTAACTCAGTCATGTTTCTTAATTTCTAATTCTAATGATCTCATCACTTCTTTCAGAACCTGTCGGAAAAATCTTTTATGTGATCTTCCCATCTAAAATCAAGAAATCTGACCTGTAGGTGTGGTTTAGAACCGCCCTGTGACTTGCATATCTTAGAATAACCTCTCTAAATGGCACTTTCCCCTTTCTAATTGTCTGAAGCTCCTCTGAAACCCAAGGGTAGATTCTCATTCTCTCACCTGCTTGGGCATCCTTTCTGCTGCTATCTTTATACTCCCTGACGGGATTTTTCCATCTCCCACTGAGTCCTTGCCAAGCCATCCGCCCGTCCATATCCATAGCACACACCCTGTCTTACTTCCGTGCCTTTGAGCTTGTTACCCTGTTGCTGGAGAATCTGCCTCTGTCCACTTCCTTCCAGGGTCACAGGCACACCCCTCCATGTCTGTTGACTCATTTGGGGAAGTGTGGATAGGTTGTCTTCTACTATGCATATACAATGTATGTCCAACCTTATCTGTAGTAAGGTGGGTACGCACTTGGACATGGACAACTGGTCCACCTCCACCAAACTGCACTATGACTTCTAACCAGCATGCTGGCCAGAACGTCATAAGCCATTAGTTCTCTAAGCATCCTGAATCAAAGTGAAACATGAGAAAATTAACAGACAGCACTCCATGAAGTTGTTATGTAAACTGCAGCTCAATACGAGATAACTTCTAGGAAGAAAGGTGTGTGTGAAAATTGTATTTCCATTTGTAACACAGTATTCACAATGCCATTTGCATTCCTACTATTGTCATAATTAATATTTATTTTGTAATGTGTCACACACTGTAATAAGTACAGTTTCTTTATTACTTTTTAAAAAGATTTATTTATTTTTTATTGGAAAGGTAAACATACAGAGAAGGAGATACAGAGGGAAATATTTCTTTCTGGTGGCTTACTCCCCAAGTGGCCACAATGGCTGGAGCTGAGCCAATCTGAAACAGGAGCCAGGAATTTCTTCCAGGTCTCCCACGCAGGTGCAGGGTCCCAAGGCCTTGGGCCATCCTCAACTGCTTTCCAAGGCTACAAGCAGGGAGTTGAATGGAAAGTGGAGCAGCCAGGACACTAACTGGTGTCCATATGGGATCCCGCGCACTTGCAAGGTGAGGATTTAGCCACAAGGCCACTGCACCAGCAGTGTCTGGTAGTCTTTCATGTTTATTATTTATTTGCACTTTATTTGAGAAGCAGAGAGTGGTACAGACGAAAAAAAAAAAAATGACTCCTTAAATGCTCACCACACCCAGAAGCGCCAGGTTTGGTCTGGGTGTCCCATGCGGGCAGCAGGAAGCCAGGTACTTGAGCCATCACATCTCCTTCCTCCCAGGCTGTGCCTCAGGCAGCGCTGAGGCCAGGACCTGAGCCTGGGCCTTCTGGTGCTGAATGTGGGTGTCCCAAATGATGTCTTCAGAAGCAGTGCCCATTCTATCCCAGCTGTCCTCACTGCTCACACCAGGTAGTCCTGCTCTCACTGTGTAGGTAAGGTTACACACCCAGCCCCTACTACACCTCTCCACAGCCCTGTTCCCCTCTGTGCACACCACGCTCTTGGTTTACTGTGTTCACTGTTGTTTCCTGACTTCTCGTTCCAGAACACAAATTCCTCGGGGAAGCAAACTCTGCTTTTTTATAACCTTATTATAGAAGTATAATGGATGATCAATAACTATTTGTTGCTTCAGCAACCATGAACTAGATCACATAAATATCTCATGAACTAGATAATAGGCTTTTGGTTTTTTTTTTTAAGTTGCTTCATGTTTATTGCAAAATGGCAAACTAGATCAAGAAATGAGTTAGACAGCACTTATTGTCTAGTATTAAAAAGATTGCGTATGCATAAATACCTACGCATATAGAGGTATTTGTAAGTTTTAACAATAAAATATTTAACAAAATTAGCATTTAAAAAATACGAATTAAAAATAAAAATAAGCATCTAAAAAAAGTATTTAACAAAAAATAATTGAGGGCAATCTCTCCAGCATTATTTGAAATATAACACTCAAGCCACATTTCTGTGTTCCTATAATGTCCTGGAAATAGCCATATTGATTCTGTATGTGTAATAAAAGATCTTCGAAGTAGAGAAATACTTAAAATTTAATATATACAATTTAACTTGAGATTTCAAAAGTTTCAGAGTAGTTTAGTACTATAGATGATTATTTTTCAATTCTTAGGTGCTATTTTCTAAGTCATCTTTTCCTAGAATGTCCCTCCTCCCCTGACTCACTGAGCTGGAAACTAAGTTATTTAATAACAGGAAATTAAAGATCATATTTTGTGATCATATGAAATTACAGAGGAAACCTCACAGCTCAACCTACCAAACCCTTGTATTCTGGAAAGCCTGAAATGTTTTACACAGAATTCTTTTCACTCATCTATTAAAGAGAAGATGAACAACCCTTAGAGTTCCGTTTTTCTCATTTGAACCATGTTGGGGCTCTCAGGACATTTATTGTACATGAGTTCTCCCAACAGGGAGGGAGCGGGGACAATGAGCTGTGCACCAGGCGAGAAGCCAGGAGACCTTCTCACAAATCCCAGGTTAGGCCACATCCCCAAGTTCAGATCAGTTTCAAAGCACTGAAGACGTGAAAGTAAATAGAAGGCTTAGTGCTTCCTAAGAAGCTTTTTGTCTAAAAGAAGAAACAACAAAAATATCTAAAATAATAATGCAACAAAAAAATACATAGTTCACGCCAGTTAAGGTAGCAGTGTCTTCAACACACATAGCCATGCCGCTGTGGGAACTAGCAGATACGGGTGAGAGAACAGACTGGGCTGAGCCGTCTGGACTTGAACCCTTGCCATACTTCTTCAGTAGCTGCAGGCCTGGGCAAGGCTGTACTAGTTTGCCTCAATTGCTTCATTTGTAAAATGGAAGGATAATAGTCTTTTTAAAGTGTAATTTTATTCATTTTTCTTCATTTTCTTTTTCTTCCTCTTGCATCTGGGGTGGGGTGGGAGGGAGATAAGGAATCAATAATAGTTTTTTTTAAGATTTATGTATTTTTATTGAAAAGGCAGATATACAGAGAAGAGAGACAGCGAGGAAGATCTTACGTCTGCTGATTCATTCCCCAAACAGCTGCATCAACTGGAGCTAAGCTGACCCAAAGCCAGGAGCCAGGAGTTTCTTCCGGGTCTCCCTTGTGCAGGGTCCCAAAACTTTGGGCCATTCTCCACTGCTTTCCTAGGTCACAAGCAGCTGGATGGGAAGTGGGGCTGTCAGGATTAGAACCAGTGCCCATATGGGATCCTGGTGCATTCAAGGTGAGAACTTTAGCCACTATGCTACCGTGCCAGGCCCAGATAATAGTTTTTAACTCTTCATTATATGACTAAGAAGTTAGTACATAAGGAGAGAAGACCACACAGCAGGTCAGGCAAGGACCCAGGATTTAAATTGGAACTGGAATCCAGAGTTGGCCTTCATGACACTGCACTAAATAAGTAATATACACCTGCATTGGAATTCTCTCTCTTTTAAAACGTATAATCAATTGTGCTTATGCTCTAGTATTCACTTTTCTAGATATGGTATCAAGTATTTGAAATACTTTAGAAGACTTTTTATTCTTGGCTTCCATCTTTCAAAATGTGTTTCCAGTTTTTGCAATACTCATATTGTCTTTGGATTTTATTATTTTTAACTGTTATTTTCCCAAGCCAGGAGAGTTTTTAGAAGTATATTTAGGATGTTTACATTTAAAGGCTATACTTTGTCACTTACTCCTGCCAACAATATATACACCTTCAGAAATTGCCCTGCCCGTTGGCAGGGGTTGCCAGGCAGCTGGTCTCTCTGATGGCTGGCGTCACTGTGTTCACATTAAGCCACAGTCTCCCCAGAGACACGACACAGACAGCAAGGGTGGAGGGCTCCTTTCTTCTAGAGGATGACTTACACTGTTTATTTCTTAAAACTGGCTGACATTAACTGTCTTGTTTAGAAAACAGTGCACTAGGGACCTGGTGCGGTAGCCTAGTGGCTAAAGTCTTCACCTTGCACTTGCTAGGATCCCGTATGGGTGCTGGTTCTAATCCCAGTGGCCCCACTTCCCATCCAGCTCCCTGCTTGTAGTTGGGAAAGCAGTGGAGGGCAGCCCAAGGCCTTGGAACCCTGTACCTGTGTGGGAGATCTGGAAGAAGCTCCTGGCTCCTGGCTTCTGATTGGTGCAGCTCCAGCCATTGCAGCTACTTGGGGGAGTGAATCAAAGGATGGAAGATCATCCTTTCTGTCTCTCTTCTGTATCTGACTTTCCAATAAAAATAAAATACATCTTTAAAAAAAATGCACTAAAATACTGTTCATCTCGGTTACTGATCTTTTGATTGCCCAAAGTGAGTCTTTCCTGCTTTCCTCTGGTTCAAGGCTGTGGCCAGTGTGCTGTGAGAACAAAGTCACATCACTTCTTGGTCTTTTGGCGCAGACCAAGTGAGAGCAAAGTCACTACGCTGCGTCCGCAAGATTCCATTCTGTCTACGTGCTAAGAGAAGAGTCGGTGAGTTTTATAACTTGGCTCCTCCTCCTTTTTGGGTTCTCAGTGACTAAATTAAAATACGTCGTATTGGGATTTTTACCTTTAGCAAAAGGTTCTGAAGGTCTACCAGAAGGACCTATCAAGTATTCATAAAAATTTGAGGTTTTGCTGTTGTGTGCATTGGTTTGATAAGGTGTGAAAGATAAAAACAGTGCCTTATGTAACATGAATGTGTTCTTGGTGAAAAGACAAAATGATGTAAAAATGAACACTGGGCTGGCAGGTTGGTTTTTTGCCTACCTGGTAGACAGCAGTGAAATTTTATCCCAGGGTCAATTTGCTATATTTTTTATGACCTAGTTCAGTGCACCCACACGGGAAGCATGCTGAGAAGGGCTTTAACAGGCATTTCCATTTTGTTTTGTAGATTCCACAGGAAAATAGAACCATACAGTATTTCTGAGCCTATCATATTCCATTTAATTCCAGGTGCATCCCTGCTTTTAAAAAGAGCAAGATTTCTTGCTTTTAAAATACTGAATAATATTCCACTGCACAAATACTACAGTTTCTCTATCCAGTCACTATCCGTGGCCAATTAGGTTGATTCCATAGCTTGATGTTGTGAATAATGCTGCGGTGGACATGGGAGGCAAGGCACTGATTGTATTACCTCTGGGTGTCTATATACCCAAGCAGGGTTTGCTTGGTCACATGGCAGTTCTATTTTGAATGTTTGAAAATATTATATATTATTTTGAGAGAGAGAGAGAGAGAGATCTTTCATCTGTTAGTTCACACTGCAAAAGGCCACAACAGCCAGATTTGTACCAACACAAATGCCAGGAGCCAGGAGCTCTACCCTAGTCTCCCACATGGGTGGCAGTGGTCCAAGTACTTGGGTCATTATGGACTGCCATCCCAGGCAGAGTAACAGGACGTTAGAATAGAAGCAGGGCAGCTGCGACTCGAATTGGCACGCTAATATGGTACATCAGTGTCATGAGTGGAGCTTAGCCTACTGCACTACATCAGCCTAATATTTTGAATATTTGAGCAATTATTCCTACCATCTTTCACAGTGCCTTTACCAATTTACAGTCCCACCAAAGGACATAATGTTTTCATCTTCTCCACATTTCTGCCAGCATTTGTTTCTTGACTTTCTGATAGCAGCCTTCCCAACAGGAAGTCGGATCTCACTACAGTATTGCTTTACATTTCCATGATGACTAGTAATGCTAAATATCTTTCCATATACCTATGGTCAACTGAATATCATCTTTGGAAATATATTTATTTAGTTTGCCTTTTTTTGTGACTGATTTGCTATTGATTTATATGATTTTTACATTGTCCCTTTGTCAGATACGTGATTTGCAAACATTTTGTTGACTTTCTTTTGCTGTGAAGCTTTTAGTTTGAGAAAGTGTCATTGATTTACTTTTGTTTTTTCTCCCTGAGCTTTTGATGTGATAAACAGAAGGTCATTGCCAAGGCCAGTTTCAAGGAGCTTTTTTTCCTATGTTTTCTTCTGGGAGTTTTAAATAGAACAAAGAGTAAATCAGTGGCTGTTGGGGTCAAAGAGGAAGAGGAGTGGCGAAGGAGGTCGAAGGGCATACATTTGCAGTTGCATAGTTAAAGTCTAGAAATGTAATGGACAGCAAGAGGACTAGCATTAATATCACAATGTGAACTTGAGCATTTGCTAAGAGAGGTGATTTTAAATGCACTTACCACACACCTAAAAAGCCACACACATCATGGAATGTGATGGGTATGTAGTTTGTTTGACTGTGGTGATCATTTCACTGTAAATATCATTTTGTGTGGCCAGCACTATGACATATCATGTTAAACTGCCATCCATCCGGGCATCAGTTTGTGACCTGGCAGTTCTACTTCCAATCCAGTTCCCTACTGGTGGACTAAGGAAAGCAGCGGAAGATGGCCCAAATGTTTGGGGCCTTTGAGACCCCCAAACCCAGATGAAGCTCCTAGCTTTAGCCTCGTTCCCTGGCCATTTTGGTAAACCAGGGAATGAACCACTAGATAAGATCTCTTTGCCTTTGTCTCTTCTCTCTGTGTAACTCTGATGGGAGAAGCAGTGTAATTGACGATGTGGCTTCTTGGGAGAGTAATGAAGTAAGCCTGAAAAGCTTGAAGTGCAGTTGTACACTTGGGAACATGATTTGGAAAAGTGGGACCCCTTGCGGTGCACCAGATATACATTGTGTCCTTCTGCCAGATGGCCAACTGGTAATCCATTAGACCTCCTATGAGCGAGGCCAAAGCTTACCGTCAGTCCCATGGAATGCATTTGAAGACTACAGGCAAAAAGAATTAAGATTTTACCCCGAGCTGGTTTTAATTAGTATAAATATTCTACATGACTTGAGAAGCAAGTGTCTAAGGTCTGATGTTGCTTTCCAAGGGCAGGGTTGTTTACACCACTGGCTGCACAGTCACTCTTCTGGTTATCAGCCTTCTTGTCTGTGACACCAAGTAGGAAGAGGACAAAGATACTTGAAAATAACTTCATTTTTCCTTGACAAGTCTTCTTTTCTCTATATGTCTGGTAATTATTATGTTGAATCTGGTGACAATTTATATGAGTATTATCTATGACTTGGAAGATTTTCTTTTTAAAAAAGATATTTATTATTACTGGAAAATCAAATATACAGCAAGAAAGATCTTCCATCCCCCAAGTGGCCTCAACTGCTGGAGCTGAGCTGATTTGAAGCCAGGAGCTTCTTCCAGATTTCCCACATGGGTACAGAGTCCCAAGGTTTTGGACCATCTTCTACTGCCTTCCCTGGCAACAAGCAGGGAGCTGGGTGGAAAGTAGAGCAGCTGGGATACAATCCAGCACCCATCTGGAACCCCAGCACATCCAAGTCAAGGATTTAGCTTGTAGGCTATCATGCCAGGCCTGGAAATTTTTCTTCTTTGTCAAGATTTTAGGCAGCAAAATTGGCATTCTCCTTTGGCGATTCCCTGTATGACTTTCTCTTAATGGTGGCCCAAATGAAATAGAAAAGCATAACTATTAAAGGCTACCATGTTTTACAAAACTGCCAGTATACCACACAAATCAAGAAAATATGATCAAGTAGATACGATCGAATCTACTCCTCTGTATTACACAACTAATATTATCAGGCATTTATTGCCTGAAAAATTACATTTCCCTGGTGCTATTTAAATAACATAATCTCACTGTTCACACTGTCAAGTTAATTCCTTATTCATTCAAATATTTTTAAAGATTTTTATACATGTAATCAATATTGTCATCACTGACCATAGCATCACATACGAGATGTATTTGTAACAATACATGTATAGTATATTTATTCTTCAACTGACTAGTATCAATTTAATACAAAGCATGTCAGGAGGGACAGACGTTTAGCACAGCAGTCAGGAGACCTCTTAGGATGTTCAGATTTCGTATCAGAGTGCCCGGTTCAAGTCCTGTCTACTCCACTTCCAATTCAGCTTCTGCTAAGGTGCACCCTGGGAAGCAGCCAGTGATGATTCAAAAATCTGGATCCTTGCCACCAGTATTGGAGACCTGCATTAAGTCCTTGGCCCTTGACTTTGTCCTGACCCAGCCCTGACTGTTGAAAGCATTTGGGAATAAATCAGTACATAAGACCCACCCTCATCCTCCCACACCCGGTCAACTGGGTCTTTCAAAAAAGCAGGGGGCCTCAATCTGAATAAAACAAGTACTTGTATTTTTAAAAGTGCTCTTCAGTGACTGTAAGTCTGAATGGCATTTTTTTTCATCTAACATCAACATTGTAATTTTGATACCAACAATCACTAGATTAATGAGGTCAACAGAGATCCACCAGACTCTGTTCAAGTTCTTAGAAGTACGCTCTAATTGCTTGGATTATCCTGAGACAAGTCCTGGGTTAGTAGTCAGATACCAGACTACCAAAATCCTCCTCGCTTTCATAGCCATACAACACTGAAGCAGCAGCTAAGAACCCCAAGTTAAACGTGCCCACCGATAGCGCCATCAGCCCCTCCCTGTTACGGAGCAGGGTGTCAGGGTTCGTGTGGCTGACCACTCGTTCTTCCATTTCCATGCAAGGCAGGACTCTGGCAGCACCATCCTTTCCCATCATCCCATCTTACTCATTAAAGGTAGAAACCACACAGTGAGCTGCACAAACTGTGCTGTTTGGAATAGAGGCAGTGCTGGGGAGTTGACTCTGCAAAGAGTATGGAGAGGCTGACTGACAATCAGGGCGAGAGAGAGAGAGGGGAGAGAATATTTCCAACAGAACTTCTGCTAATGAATCCCCAAAGGTTGGTACCTCCTGGGGGAGACAGCCTGGCGCTCTCTCGGTACTATATTGTCCAGGGGCAGTGAAGAGATAGTGACTGTAAACTAGACCTAGCAAACAATGTGACGACGGCCCAGACAGCACAGGCCATCTGAGCCCTCCCCTCTGGGGGACCCAGAGCATCAATCAGCCAGGCCAGTGATGGAATTTTAGGTCCCAGGAGATAGGAGTGAAGCCGGAGAGTCCTGATCTCAAGAGGGCCAGAGATCTCATTATGAGATGCCACATGGGGGTTTGGGTAGCAATAAAGAGCGGGGCCTCCAGAACAACTGAATTAATGCTTACACAAATGCAGCTCCTGGTTCCCTGTCATCCCTCCCCTCTCAGCCCTGCCATGTTGGCCTGGCTTCCTCGATTAGAGGCATCAAGTCGGGGAATAGCCTCAGCCAGGGCTTGGCAGTCTCCCAAGCTTCAACCCTCCAGTGTTGGTCTCACTCCAGTTGGCACCCACTCCAGTGACAAGCCTGGAAAGACAGAGGCGATACTAACAATCGACTTGACCCCCTTGCTATTTTTGGAACCACCATGCAACAGTCACAAAATCCACATTTTGTTGTTGTTGTCTTTCAGGAGCATGTGGAGTACTGATCAGGTGAGCACATTCTGGGACATGGAACAAGTATCAATATGTTTCTAAAGAATTCAGATGTATCTGTTCACAATGAAATTCAACTAGATATCCATAACAAAAAGGTACCTTAAATGTCTCCTATGCCTTTATAAACTGAATAACCCATTTCTAAGCAACTTATGAATCAAGGGTGTCAAAAGGAAATCAAGAAGTAGTTCGGACTCGGTGAAATTTAAAAATGTGACATACCAGCATTTTTAGGACGCCATAAAGCAATTCTCATGAGGCATTGCATGTTCAAGTTAGGAAAGAAGAAAGTCCAACTTAATGACCTCAGTTTGCTTCTTAAGAAACTAAAAATAGAAGAATCACAGAAACTCACAGTGCACAGAGAAATAAAGGGAATAGAAGTCAGTGAAATAGCAAAGGGAAAAACAAGAGGGTACATCTAGGAAACTAAAAGATAGTTCTGTGAGATAAATGAAACCAAAGAACTTATCAAAATGAACTGCCAATTTCACGGAAAAATGACATCACTACAGTTCTACAGATATTAAAATGATAAGAAATCAGAATGCCAAAACTAGTTCGTTAAGTTCATGTGACTATGGAGAGAATAACTCTTCTGGGCCTGGAGCAATGGCTCAATGGCTAAATCCTCATCTTGCATGCACCAGGATATCATAAAGGCACCATTTGTGTCCTGGCTGCCCCACTTCCCATTCAGTTCCCTGTTTGTGGCCTGGGAAAGCTGTCGAGGATGGCCCAAAGCCTTGGGACTCTGTACTAGCATGGGAGACCTAGAAGCTCATGGCTTTGAATTGGCTCAGCTCTAATCTTTACAGCCAATTGGATAGTGAAGCAAGAGACAAAAGGTCTTTCTGTCTCTCCTACTCTTTGTAAATGTGCCTTTCCAATAAAAATAAAATCTTTTTTTGGAGGGGGCAGGGAGAAAATAACTCTTTGATGCACAGAAAAATCAATAAATATGGCCATTCCTTTCTAGGGCATCTGTGCAAGAGAAAACATGAGTAACTCTGTAAAGACACATGTGCAAGGATTTCATGACACACTCATTTGTGGTCCAGGTGAGTCGGAGGCAGGCGAGGCATGCGTCAAAGGGGAATGGATGAGCAAGCATGAGGAGCATCATGGAGTATTATTATTACATAGACCAAGGAACATGACAAATGTAGACACACACCCACCTGGGTGCACAGGTAAGGACACACAGGTTCATCACACATATGAGTGTGTCTCCCCAGGAGGTGGGAAGAGGGACATGAGCAACCAGGAGATCAAGGAAGCAAAGGGAGGAGAGCTCCAATGGACCCGGATGATAACAGTCTCTTATAACCAAAGAATCACTGGCTGTCCAGAAAGAGAGAACCTCGGGCACACTATTATGTGACTAATGGTCCTTCTCTACCAGAGATAAAACAGAAAAGCAGCTCACCTTCCTCCAGGAGGGGGACTGGCACCAGGCATTCATATCACATGTTGCACGGCTCCAAATACAAAAGAGGACAAACTTAATTTTAATAGATTATTGTTCATTTCAGGTAGCCTGCCAACTCCAGAAGACTAAAAACTTAAGCAAAGTGATGTATATAGTTCCTCTTTCTAGGATCACTATATATATTAGCTAGTTTCTCCGAAGTCATTGACTGCAAAATATGATGAGGCTCAGGTGAAGTTGACAAACTAAAGATTTCTTTCCAGAATGACACAAAAAAGTACAATCTCTGTCTCCTTTGGGAAGGAGATATTGTATATTTAAGTGCTTTTCCCCTTGTCTCTCTCTTGCTTCAATCTTTCTATCTCCTCAGACAGTTTGTATAATTCCAGGGCCATTTTGGAGTTGCTTGGATTTGGGAGACACCGCAAGAGGTCCTGGCCTTCCAGGACTGCCTCATGTCTTACCGGGTCTTCCTGAAAGAGAAAATAAAGAGTGATTTTGTAAAGTTTACCTTTTGTTTGTCAGGCGTTGAGCTCCTTTCAGGGAGCCTTTTGATAGGAGAAGAATTGGAAGGAAAAAGCCAGGATTTATGGACAGAAAACATGTTGGATCGCAGTAATATACAAGGGGGTTCTGTTTATTACAGGATCCGGCATTGATGCATGATGGAAAACCAGTGCACAAGATGCCAGCAGCCCACATGTGTGCCTGTGGAATCCTGTCCACTACTCCACCTCTGACAGCAGCTCCCCTGTCATGACCGGGGGAAACAGTGGAAGATGGCCCAAGTCCTCAGGCTCCTGCACCTATGTGGGAGACCCAGAAGATGCTCCTGGCTCCTGACATTCAGCCTGGTCCCGTCCTGGCTGTTGTGGCTGTCTGGGGAGTCAACCAACACATGGAGAGTCAACCAACACATGGAAAATCTCTCTGTCTCTGACTCTTCCTCTCTCTCTCTGTGACTCTGCCCTTCAAATACATTTTTTTTTTAATTAGAAAGTATATAAAGAAAAATCATGGGTAGATTTCAAGCATTTTTATCAAAATAAATGTACCCATATGATGCTGGTTTTTGCTTAGTGTAACTTTTGGAAGTACCTTCATACGTCCTCAAGAACTGAATTTCTGGAGTGTCAGTTGAGCTGACAACTAAACATGGGGCAGGTGCAGAGGAGTCAGAGAAAGTCCTGAGCACTAGGGGCGGGATGTGTAGTCCAGCAGACTCTCATGTCCACTTAGGATGGCCTGCTTGCTATAAAACAAAGGCAATAAACTTGCGACCAGTGCAGCACAGTTCTTCCATGTGGGAAGAGCCAGGACCCGTAAATACTCATACATTAACCCCAACAACCGGGACAGTCTCTTCTTTAGGACTTACGGCTACCAACCCATCTCATTTCCCTGTGATTATTTAACATGTTGCATGACATAAAAAAAACTCACTGAAGGAAGGGCCTGGGTCAGCCCTGTGCCCAATGGGGCACACAAAGTTCACTGTGCCCAATGGGGCACTGGTTCAATTCCTGACTACTTCAATTCCAACCCAGTTTCTCACCAATGGCCTAAAGCACTAAGAGGAAAAGCAGCAGAAGATAGTCCTAGTGCTTGAACCCCTGCTACCCAGGTGGGAGACCTGAAGAAGCTCCTGGCTCTGGATGGGCCCAGCCCTGGCTGTTGTGGCCATTTGAAGAATAATCCAGTAGGTGGAAGACCTCTCTCTCTCTCCTCTCTATAACTCTGACATTCAAATAACTAAATAAATGTTTAAAAAGAGCAACTCTTGAAGGAGTACTACTCACCCTCTTGCACGTGGGCACTGCTGGGGTCCAAGTTCTGTACTCTGAACAAGAGATAATATGGGAGCCAACCATCTTGTAGCCAGGGTCACACTGGATGGTGACATTGTCAGGAGTGATGTACTGATCCTTCTCCACAGACAGCTTTCCATGCAGGATCCTTGGCTTTAGACATGCGGCTGTCATCAAAACACATTATCATAGCATATTTTTAAAAAAGATTTATTTTTATTATGTTTTATTGGAAAGGCGGATATACAGAGGAGAGACAGAGAGGAAGATCCTCCGTCCAATGATTTACTCCCCAAGTGAGCCGCAACGGCTGATGCTATGCCGATCCGAAGCCAGGAGCCTCTTCTGGGTCTCCCACGCGGGTACAGGGTCCCAAAGCTTTGGGCTGTCCTCGACTGCTTTCCCGGGCCACAGGCAGGGAGCTGGAAGGGAAGCGGGGCTGCTGGGATAGAACCGACGCCCATATGGGATCCTGGGTGTGCAAGGCGAGGACCTTAACCACTGCGCCACCACGCCGGGCCCTATCATAGCATATTGTGACTCTTCAAGAAAACACCTTTTGAGACAGATAATAAAAGGAGCAAAGAACATTGCTGAATTCTACTTGCTGTAATTGCCACCACACCTGCCCTCATCACTACCACCTCTGCCGACGTACCCATTGGTTAACAGGTAGCAAGCACTTGCTGCCACTCAGCCTATGTGCCAAGCCTATCACATGCATTATTCTGTGTAGCTTCCAGCAACACGATGAGGGTGGCAATCTGGGTACCTCCATTGTAGAGACAGGAAAATCAAGGCATGGAAGAAGCTAGGTGTCATGAGCCAACCCACTCATTAGATTTTAGGTGACAGCAAGGGTGTGAGGCCAGTCTAAACTTTCTCTTTCTGTACTACAGGACTTCTCTTTTTGCCTCATTTCTTTTGCAGGTAAAGTGAAGACAATGACAGAGGACAGAGAGTTAGCTCCTGGAATTAGGAGGAAATGAAATAAATAGCCTAGAAACATTTTGCTTATTTTTTTTAAAATCCATAACAGCTACTGATGAGCAACAGGGTGATTCACTCCATAGGTCAACTCCCTATAACATCAAAGATTCTCCATAAGGGCCTGGCACGATAGCCTAGTGGCTAAATCCTTGCCTTGCATTTGCCAGGATCCCATATTGGCACTGGTACATGTCCCAGCTGCTCCACTTCCCTTCCAGCTCCCTGCTCGTAACCTGGGAAAGCAACAGAGGATGGTCCAAACCCTTGAGACACTTGGTGTGGGAGACCCAGAGGAGGGTCCTGTTTCCTGGCTTTGGATCGGTTCGACTCTGGCCATTGTGGCCACTTGGGGAGTGAATCAGTGGATGGAAGATCTCTTTCTCTCTTTCTATCCTTCTCTGTAAAATCTACCTTTCCAAATAAATAGATAAATAAATAGATAAATAAATCTTTAAAAAAGAAAAAGATCGTGTTTAGCAGTAACTTACTGCCCCTTGGGGCTCTTGCTCTGACTGGGGCAACCCCTTCTGCAGTGTTCACAGCTTTGCTCAGAGAGCTCCAGTTACCTTTACACTGAGGAATCGACTCTTCTGAAAACCAGCAGGTGACTGTGGCTGTGCCAACCAGTGCGTAGCCTTCCTTGCACTTGTACTGCACCTTGTAATCTATCCCAAACACGCTACGGAGAACTTCATACTCTCCGTGTGGAATCCTGGGGAGAAACCTGCAACCTTGCACAGAGAGAGGAGAGGGAGGTTTTTCTGACTCATACATGAAAATAGCACAGAGAGGACACATCAAAAAATTCTTAGCATTTCTAAATCATTTCGTTGCCCATAAAAAACCTGGCACACCTCACAAAATGGGAGTGGGTTGTCTCCTTGCATATTACCATTTGTGTAATTAAGGAAAGCAAATGTGTATATGAGTATGTGGGGAAGTCAGAATTAACTCTTAACCCTATATAGAATATTTTTCCCAATAATTCAAAACTTTTAACAAAATACATGTTTAAATGCTTTGTTTGGTAATGTCTGAAGCATTTTTAAAAATGTAAACTCAGTTAATCTACCTCCTGTTGATGTAACCTTTAATTCTCTTCTTTAACATTTACTTATTTATTTGAAAGTCTGAGTGACAGAGACAGACAGAGAGAGACAGGTCTTTCATCAGCTGATTTACTTCCTAAATGGCCACAATGGCTAGGTCAGGGCTAATCCAAGAGCAGGAGGCAGGAACTGCATGTGGGTCTTTCACATGGATGGTAGGATCCCAAGTACCTTGGGCCACCTTCTGCCCCTTCCCAAGTGCCTTAGCAGGAAGTTGGATGGGAACTAGAGCAGCCAGGCGTGGAAGCAGCGCTCCAAAAGGGATGTCAGCATTGCAAGAAGTGGCAAAACCCACTGTTGTGTGATTACGTAGGCTCTAAGATAGGCATTCTCTCTCTCTCTAATATTATATTATATTATATTATATTATATATTAGAATACATTATAAAATGTATAATACTATATATATACTATGATACAATATTTATAATATATATTCCCCACTTCACAAATGAGAAAAGCAGAAACCTAAAGAGGTGAAGCCACTTGCCCAAGGTCATACAAGGAATGAGGCAGATTAGATTAGTGCCCTGCATTTCATTCTCTGCCTTGCTGTTGAGGATAAGGAAGGCACTGGATTGACATCAAAAGCTCAGAGCCAGCCACAAAGGATTCTTCTCCTTCTCCTTCCTTTTAATGAGGTTACATATAAAACATTGGTGGGGCATGCATTCAGCCTGGTGGTGCACATGCTCTGCTTCTGTCGCAATGGAATGCCTGGGTTTGACACCTGCTAGCACAGACCTGGGAAAGCAGCAGGGAGGCTCAAGTGATCTGAGTTCTTGTTGTCTGTTGGGAGATCTGGATTGGGTCCCTGCTACCAGCTTCATGCCTAGTCCAGCCTTACTCATCTGGAGAGTGAACTACCAGATGGGTGATCTCTTTCTCTCTCTCTCTCTCTCTCTCTCTCTCTCTCTCTCTCTCAAGTAAATTTTAAGAAGGAAGTAAGAAGAAAGGAGGGAGGGAGGAAAGAAAGGCAATTTGATGAAGAAATTGCTCTGTGAAAGCTTTTATGGAAGGTGCAAATCCAGACTCCCAGCGCCCTCCCTGAGGGAGCCCAGGACTAGCAGCCGGCCAGCCTGACCCCACCCCACAGAGGTTGGCCAGCGCGTTTGTTGCTGCTGCTTCTTATCGGCACGTACACACTGAACAGAGCAGGATGGAAGCCCCTTGCCGCAAACATTTGCCAACAGATAGCAAGATTTAGGTTTCGACTAAAACAAGTAAAAGAGAGCCATTAGGACTGCCAGGCTTTTAGGGTAGCTAAAGGGTAACCATCACCCTTGCTTCTTGGAGATAAGGCACAGGAGGCAGACTGCAAGGCCTCCAGTCCCTGTCTTCCTCAAACAAAACCTCTGCTCTCACCTTGTGTCCGGTCTCGTAAATCGCCATCCACACCAGGACACAAATCCGGACTCACGAGTTCTCCTGAAACACCCCCACCCCCAGTCCCAAGAATGTCCTGTGTGCTTTAAAGTCTTTATAGGAAAGAATCACCCGGAAAGTGTTTTTAATTACTTAGGAGACAGCAAAGAATAGAACCTTGCATTTATTCCATGTTTTATGGTTACAGAGAACTCTTACATGCATACTTTGGGAATTTAGATTCCAGTTCATTTTCTCAGAATTTGTGACAATAGGAATGCTTTTATTTTTGTCTTAGGGGTGGTGACGATAAACAAACCATAAACAAACTATTTACAAGAAAAAATAATAAACAAACCTACAACTGGGAAAAATAAGCTCATTTTAAAACCCGAAGGAATGCTGATCCGACTTTCTTTTGTATTCATGTAAAAAACAATGAGGTGACTTGCAACTCATTGAGTATGTATTTAGGAATTTATACAATGCCACTTATTTTTTTCTATTAATGGAAACAGTATCGACCTAAAAGTCTCAAAATCTTTAAAATTGTTTTGTAGTTAAAGCTTTCCATGAATAATACACAAATTAAGCAATTCATATCATCAAGTAATAAGACTGTTAGTAAACAACATTCGTAAAACAATTTGCTGTCTCCTACAAGCTGATATAAGTGACTGCAATTTGGTCACGCTCTTACTGTTCCTGAAGTTGAATGCATGTGTTTGCGATGATCGGCTGAATTTCCTTCTCTTTATGAACCACACACTCACTCACTTTGTTAGAGTGTTGGTATAATGTTAGTATGTTAGAATGTTAAGAATATTAGTGTTAGGTGATATTAGGCCCTTTGGGGTGAGAAGCCAACACTTCGCTAGGTCAGAAGGCACCTGCACTGTGGGAAAGCTCCACTTTAGTGATAAATCTGTCTCCCTTGTTTCTTTGTGAACTAATCTACCATGTAACCCGGGTGCAGGAAGGCAGGGGCACAGTTCCCTGGTCCCAGGGACTGGAGGAGCCATAAAGAGACTGGAGGTGCCATAAAGATAAGGTTACCAGGATGGGATGAGCCGTAAATAATAAGTGTGGGAGCATAAACAATAAGTGTGGGAACGTAAATAATGAGTTTGAGAACGGAGTGTGAGTGCTTGCACCTGGGGGCCACATAAGTTTAAATTTGTTACTTTTGAGTTGACTTTGATATATGTTACAGCCAAAACGGGGTATATAATCTCCAGCCTTATGTTAAATCGGGGTCCAATCCACTTGGCTGGCCTGTGTGCCCCAAGTACGATCTGACCCCAGCATGCTGGCACAATAAACTCTGTTTGCTTTTTGCATTATCAGCAAAGCTCTTTGTCGTTTTCTGGGGGTTGACTAGCTCGCACCCTAATGTCCAGTGGGGAGCTCTGGCCCGGACTCTAACAACTTCACCCCAGTTTTCCTGGGGCACCAGCCCCTGTGTTACTCACCAAGCAGGCTGGGTGGGTGCAGGAGCAAGGTCATAATCCCAAGGAGGCCCAGGGAGAGGGAGTGGCTGCCAGACACTGGCCGCATTGTCCAGGCTGCCGGCACCAACAGATGCTTCAAGTTGGTGGGTTCCGCCTTGAATGCACCTGCAGAAGGAACCAGCAGCAACAGCTGCTGCCTAACTGGTCAGCTGTGCTCTGTTCAGCTGAACCCTACGGGAAAGTCAAAGCTAAAGTCAACTTCCCACCTGAGTTACGCAACAGCCGGGGAAGAGGGCAGAACCAGGGTGCCAAAGGACAGGTGAAACCTCAATTCCAGTCTCCTGGTTTGGATGTCAGGGGCTAGTAACCTGGGGGGACTCGGGTGGTGGGGGCGGGTGGGAGGTAGAGTAGGGGAGGTATTTAGAAATGTGACCTGGATTTAAAGGAAATTGCTATCTTGAAATGTAAATAGTTCTTTTCTGAGTAACTAAACAAACCAGATAGAAGAAAGGAGACTTTGGTTTGCTCTTAGCCACCCTGAGAGCAAACTTGGAAATAGCTAAGCCCTGTTGCCCACTGGAGTCTGGTCTTTGCTGGGGAAGTGGGGCTTGAGGGGAGACAGGGGAGGAGGGCTGGGAGAGCAATCCGGGACACACCGCACCTTCAGGAAACCTTGTACCTGGAGCTTTGAGTCAACAGAAGTGCCGGGGGAAACAAGATAAACAATGATGGGACAAGTAAAATTTCCTTCCAGAAGTTCTTGAGATGGGAGAAATATTAAAACACTCAAACAGGCTTGGCAAAATTACTCTGATGATATTTAAGTGGGACATTCTTTTTTGTCATTCCTGGCTTCCCTAAGTCACCCTCTGGTGTTGTCAGTTGGGAACAGGACTAGAAAGCAGGCACCTGCGTGTGCCTATGGGCTGGGGGTGAGAAACCCTGCAGCGACAGAAATTCCATACTGCCTAAACATATTTGCAAGGTGCTGAGCCAGCCTTGAGTCAGAGTTCTGAGCAAAGCAAAACTGTGCTCTTCCAGAGATATGCAGAAGTTAACTCAAAGAAGACTAATTTGAGGGAATGCCTTAAAATGACCTTCCCACTCAGTTAAGCAGCAAACATTGCAAAACTGCTAACAAGAGGCCAGAACTCTAAAACATGATGTGTTGTGATGTAATATTGACTGTGGCATAATTCAGTCTGAGCCTTTAGGAAAGAGAACAAATACATTTATTGTGCATTTATTCAACTTTAGGAAGAGAATCCAAGACAATAACTGAAAAAAGCAAGCCATTGAAACCACTGGCTAGAAGACTATTTTGAATGATTCCTTCTGCCTCACAAGCCCCTTCTGTGTCCTCCATACTTTGTATCAAAGCTCTAAATACTGAACTTGAGTAAGTAGAGGAGGAGCTCCATTTTGCGTTTAGCCGCCGGTGTGCCCCAGCCCTCGCCTCGGGACAGGTAGCAATCAGGAGCTGCCAGCAAGACAGGGGAGAAAACCACGGTAATCCTAGCTGAAGGCGCCTGACAGTGAGCGAAGCAGGCACGCTCTTCCCTGGCAACTCATGCAAGAAGGGAACAGCATGACGGGAGCTGCCATGGGGCAGAAGAGCTAACATTCTGATAGAAAATCAACAACCTTGCTGGACTGAACCACAAAAAGCACTCAGGACAATAAGCCCTGACAGATGAGTGAAGACCTGGAAGTGGAAAGGCCAGAGAGGCCAAAGAGAAACGAAGTTGACACTGTGAGTGAGCCGGGCTCTGAGGCCGGGCCCCCTGCACTGCCCCCTGGCTGCGAGAGGCTGCAACAGCCCAGCGAGGATTGAACTGAAACTCCAGCTGTTATCCAAAAGGCAATTTTCAGTTTGGACTCAACCGTCTGCTAAAGTGAAAACAAGAAAGCTAACAAACGTTCTGTTTTAGGAGGACATAGTAGAATCTACTTACAATGTTCAAGATAAGTTGAAATTATTAGAAATAGGATAAAACTAAAAAACGAATCTGATTTTTTTTAAAAAAATGAATTTATTTATTTCTTATTAGAAAGACAAATTTACAGTGAGAAGGAGAGACAGAAAGATCTTTCATTCACTGCTTCACTCCCCCAAGTGGACGCAACGGCCAGAGCTGAGCCCATCTGAAGCCAGGAGCCAAGAGCTTCTTCCGGGTCTCCCACGCAGGTGCAGGGTTCCAAGGCCTTGGGCCGTCCTCCACTGCTTCCCCATGCCACAAGCAGGGAACTGGATGAGAAGCAGGGCCACTGGGATTAGAACCAGCACCTTTATGGGATCCTGGCACATGTAAGGTGAGGACTTTAGCCACGAGGCTACCACATTGGGCCCTATTTCTTTTTGTAAAGAAGTAATTACTACGATGGAAAGTGAATAAAATCACAGTGGGAAATGAGCTACAAAAAGGATCAAAAGGAAATTATAGAACTAAAAATTATGATTTCTGAAATTAAAAGAATGTCTCTGGAAGAACTAAGCAGTAGAGTGAAGTCATTGCACGTGAAGATAAACCAGGAGGAATTACACATTCTGAAGAATAAAGACTATTTTTACAAAAGTCTTCAGGGACTTACAAGACAGTATCAAATGACCTGTCATACATGCAATCGGAGTCCCGTAATCATGGGAAAGAGAATGAGGCAAAACAGATTTTGAAAAAAAAAATCATGACTCAAGATTTCTTCAACCTAAAGGAAGAGACATTTACAGATTCGACTTATTCAGAGAAAGTCAAGCAGAACAGATAGGAGGACAACCATGCGTAGACACCGTAAACTGCTAAAAATCCAGGAGAACATGGTGAGAGCACGCGGAGAGCAAGCGCTCTGCATACGGTGAATGTTGTGGCTGATGAGCACCTCTCACCGAAAGGCGGTGTGGGCAAGCAGCGGGCCCCGTCTGTGCGGGGTGAAGAACGAGCAGGCGGGTACAGTCAGCCCTGTGCTGCGGCGTGGAGAAGGATGTGTGATGCTGGACTGATGCTCAGAGACTGGGCTGTGAGGCCTTTCAGGCCACCAGAAGGGCTTTGACATTTAGTGTGTGGAGGGAAATGAATAGAAGAACAGCCACAGAAGTTCTTCCTGACCTCTGCAAGTGACACTGTCTTATGCCAGGGTGAGAATGATACATGTGATCAGAAAGGACAGAATTAGGGATATACTTAGATTCCACTGTTCAGCTCTATAGTCATCTTGTTGCACACACTCGAAGCGCCCCTTCTTAAACATGCGTGGGGATCCTTACTTGAAAAGACTTCTGATCCTGCCCAGTAAAAGCGGAGATGAGGCTGGCATTGTGACGCAGCGAGTTCAATGTCGAGTGCAACACCAGCATTGCCTATCTGTTTCTAATCCAGCGTCTTGCTAATGTGCCTGGGAAAACAGCGGAAGACGGCCCGAGTGCCCGTGCCCGACGCCCACTTCAGAGACCCCAGTGGAGTTGCTGGTTCCTGACTGTTGCAGCTGTTCAGGCAGTAAACCAGCTGATGAAATCTCTCTATATATCTCTCAGTCACTTTGCCTTTCAAATGAATAAAGAATTTTTTAATGGAGGTGAGTAATAACAGAAGTAAGTGTCCAAGGAACAGATGGCGATCCATTTTGGGCTAAAGAATTGTTGAAATGGAGCCTGGTGAGATAGCCTCGTAGCTAAATCCTCACCTTGCATGCAGCAGAATCCCATATGGGCACTTGTTCATGTCCTGGCTGCTCCATTTCCATCCAGCTCCCTGGGAAAGCAGTAGAGAATGGCTCAAATTTGGGGGATCCTGTACCAGCCTGGCTCCTGGCTTTGGATGGGCTCAGCTCCAGCTGCTGCAGCAAGGTGGGGAGTGAAGCAGTGGACGGATCATTCTCTCTGTTTCTCCCTCTCTCTGTAAATCTGACTTTCCAATAAAAATAAATAAATCTTTTTAAAAAATTGTTGAAATGTGTGTGTGTGTGTGCGATTTATTTTGAATATATGTCATGTTGTGGAAATGTTCCCACAATTCCAATTCACTTTTTCCATTCTCTCACAGACATTTCAAAGCAGGAAGTGGCTGATTTGACACACAGCGCAAAGGAAAAGGAAAGGGATAAACTGTGAGTTTCCGACCTGGGGGAGAATGGTACTATTCAAGAAAAGTATGACTCCATTGCAAGAGGGTGAATACAAGATGTACCCCGTGGCCCGTGAGTCAGTTGCTGAGAAATGTCTGAGTAACAACACCGGAATGACCACATGTTCAGGATGCTGGGCTGCGTCAGTGAGGAAGGCCGGTTCTTTCATCTGCTACTGAGCATTCCTAGGAATGCCATTAGAACCTCCTTGCAGCTGCCGTCATGCAGGATGTTGATACCTTACACCTGCCCGTGATATGCCAGGCTTAGCGCCATCAAAGGAGGTTGACATGCAGCACTGGCCCAGCCTCGAAGGGGAACTTGCAGAAAGGAACATCGGCACCTGCTGAGTTGGCACCTGCTGCCTGGCAGGGTGTCCATCAGCAGGGAGCTGGAGTCAGGACAGAGCCGGAACCCTCGTATTCCCATGTGGGTGTGTGTGCCCCAGGCAGCATTTCTCCTTTTTCAGTGCTCCAAGGAAAAGCTTAGCAAGGGAAAAGCAAAAAGATCCAAGTTTAGTAGGAACACAGACAGTGGCTATAAACCATCATTGAAAGAAAAAAATGACCATTTTAGCCCTTATTTTCAATATAGATAGTATATTAATATGTTAACACAGTAATAAATATATTAATAAAATATCGATATAATGTGCATATATTAATATGAATATTAAAATAATCATAGGTTATTAAGACTACAGCATTATAACATTCTTAATCATTGTTTTGAAAAGGTAAAAAAAAGTCTTACAAAACTGTATTTGTAGCAATACTAATACACACAATCATTTCTTTTTAATTGATTAAAAAATTTTAGTTCCCATGTGAGGCAGCACATGAAATATTTGTCTCTGTGTCTGGCCTGTTTCATTCAACATGTTGTCTTCCAGTTGTGACCATTCTAGGCAGTATTTTGATGTCACTATCCGATGCACCCCTTGTGTAGTTTTGACATAAAAATAATCTAATTAGCCCAAGCATTTGAGCTTCCCATCTATTTGAGCCTCTGCTTGGCGTCTGTCAATTCTGTGAATACTATCATTGAGTGGACAACGAGGTTGGTGCAAAGACCCTACCGTCGTATGCCAAAGTCTCTGT